ATATTTAGAACAGTACGTTGTAAAAAAAGGAAAGTATTAAAACACTGTTTCGGGTGTTCTAAATTAAAAACATAATAAAAAAACAAAAGGGACGATACTGCTGAAAAAATGTTATCTGCTTCCAAACAGACTTGCTTTTCCCCTGCAACGAACATTTTGTTCAGTATATGACTATCACTGTCCTCCACGAAGATAATGTATGGACTGATGGGGCTGGCGGCTTTCTTTCACAATACCTCTGGGTTTTCTGCCGTCTACATTTTAAATAAAAAACGTTTAAAAAAATCATAACAAAGTATTCATATTCAAACTATTCACGATCGACCACTTACAGGTATATGATAATACATTTCTCCAACAGAAGGTGGTTGAATAACATTGATAAGCATTTACAAGGTACTAAAGTATATTACATACCTGATAAAGGAAATTCTCTGGATGTGGATTACTTTTTGTTTTCCTTTACAAAAGGTGTGGCAAGGTACAAAGTGCCACAACAACTTTCTCATTTAGGAAGAAAGAAAAAATTACATAATTAATTTATTGCTCTGACTCTGTTAATAAAGAATGGGAATAATCACAATAAGGTGAATATATTGAAACTACACACAGCATAATAATTTACTTTTGATAGTAGGAATATATTTATTGGACCTGGAACTAGTCCCTAACCGCTGCTAATCTTCTTCTTCTTCTTCTTCTTCTTCTTCTTCTTCTTCTTCTTCTTCTTCTTCTTCTTCTTCTTCTTCTTCTTCTTCTTCTTCTTCTTCTTCTTCTTCTTCTTCTTCTTCTTCTTCTTCTTCTTCTTCTTCTTCTTGTTAGTGGGCGACGCTCTTTAAAAAAAAACTAAGGCTCTATCATTACTTGTTTGATCGGAATGAAACTTGGCACAATTATTCTAAGCAATATTCCGCATCGATTGACGGAGTTCGAATTTTTACTTTTGACCGTTGAAGCAAGTTACAAGCAATTCTTGACTATATGTGCGGCAAATAATATATACATATCATTAATATTCAGCCTATATATAATTAATATTCAGCTTATATATAAGAATACGCAAACGATTAGAAATACATTGTCCTCTCTATTGTTGTAAATACAATGCAGTTCAGAAACTCGGTCACGCAGTTCCTGGTCCACTATAGTACGATCGTACTTGTTTAAATGAGTAGATACTCAAGTAGTATAGCATTACAACATTTATGTGACCAGTCATACAATGGGAATTTCTTTATGGATCAGCACATCAATTAATTAATCTGTTTAGCCAAGCTCAATATGAAAAATTCCACAAAACATATATGTAACATATTATTATGAAGGAAAATGCCTTTGTACGATAGCAACGTTGGTATAAACTTTAATTGGCATGTATGTATATTTATTCATTATTACAGTACTTACCATCTGCCAATCTATTCTCCTCATCTAGTTCATTCTCATTTCTTATGCAAGCTTGAACTAGTTCTTCAAGTTGAGGCAGTTTCTTCTTGCTGGCAACTTTTAAAATCTTAGGTGCAAGCTCATGCACGTACGTTTTTAACAACCAAATCTTTATTCAATCGTTCATACTCATCTTGCAACTATAAAAAATCAATATAGAGTTATAAGAGTTATATAAAAATAACTTATCAATTATATTACCCAGTGCCGAATTATATGTTTATGCACAGATATTGTACCAATGATACTAACATGATCATTTTAAAAAGAAAGGGGTATTTCGCATCAATTTCACTATGGGAACACTTCCCACCATTTATAAACTTTCTTCTGAAGGAGAAAGTCAATTGCGTTTTCTGCTTAACAACTCCCATGTTTGAGTGCTTTTTTCGGTACTCCTTCTGCATCCATTGCACATGGGCTTTGTTTGAATGTTGGTCCTCAACATCTACAGCAGGAGGCTCCCAATTTATTATTCCCCTTCGCCTGCTTCCTGGCACCTGGCACTGGGAATTGTTCACTGATTTAATGCATGTTGTTGATATATTGTTTGCCCCAGTGATTGAAAAAAGTGCTACACTCTATCTTCGGCTCATAATCAGCGTGTATCTGGAACAGTTTAAAAGGCTCTATCAGTCCTGAATTAAAACATTACCAGAAATTTGCGACATGATAATTTGCATGTATACTAATTTGCATTTAACTTTCAGCATAATGGCCTTCAACTTTTATTATTAAATACATATGGTAAATATACAAAACTTAAAAATGCCGTTGCCCTAGACCTTGCCTACTGTTTCCCGACGTCTAAATGGGTAGAGCAGCTGTTTAGAAACGTTTTGGTGACCAAATTTTTTAGCTTGGGCATTTCTGCAATCTGCCAAATTTAAAATTATATTGCTCAACGTTTTATCCGTGTTCTGTCAACGAACTTATAAAATCGCTCACATTGATTCGAATATCTCGATTCAGGTAGTTGATGAATTGGCGTGTAATATACCAAAAAAAAATGTTAAAGATATTGTCTTTCGTATTTGCGTATAGACTCTTCTGTACGGCTCGGATTCTCACTGCAATCACTTTAAAAAATATTATCAGTCTTATCAGGAACTTAAACAATACGAAGGCTATAATCATACACATTTGTTCACAATCAGTTGGTACGTAAAAGTACCTAAGGTATATAATTCGATCATTAAAACGTTGGGAAACGGCTGTTTTATTGACCCAGAGGTCGGAAAACAGTAGGCAAGGTCTAAGGCAAAGGCATTTTTAGGTTTTGTATATTTACTATATGTATTTTATAGTAAAAGTTGACGGCCATTATGCTGAAAATTAAATGCAAATTAGTATAAATGCAACTGAATTATCATGTCGCAAATTTCTGGTAATGACTTATTCCAAAACAGCATTTCATGGTTCATTACCGAAACCAAATTCTAAGGTATGTTTATTCATGTTGTTCTGACAGGTGGTGGCTTCAATGCTGAACACCCCAGTACATTCGATAATTTTAATTAATCAGTTTGTTCTGTACAGGGTGTATCAAAAAAAGTTTACAGTTAGAAAAATGTCACTAAATTAATCAGCGCGCAATGCTTGGTAAAACCTGTGGTGGAAATAAGTTGTTTAACGCCCAATGGTTTATCTGGCAGCAAAATTGTCTGAAAAAAGAACCATTTGTAGAGTGAGAATTTTGTTAGCGAAAAGCATTTTGAATGAGCTTGCGCCGAAAAATGACACGTTTAAAATGCAATCTGATTACATGGAGGGGAAATATGGAACATGTTGTTTTAACTAACAAAGTTTCAAAGCATTTGGTCAATACCAACCCGAACGCACAGCCGCCAAATCTTGGATTATTTTCTCTTTTTCGTTTTAAATGTCATTTTTAAAGCCTCATTAATTATGCATTGTCATGTCTTTGCTCGCTAAGATTTTTGCATGAATTTTAACACGGATTTCCCCAAGGGACTTAACGTATAAAGCGTTTATTTAAACATTGTTTCGAACATTTGATCGTAGATATTATTAACAATATTTATTTACAATGATGTTTATTTACAAAAATACATTGTTCTGTTTAATCTTCAACGTGACCGCCATTTTGTTCCATACATAAACCAGCCCTAGCAGTCATGCTAGCGCTATTAACAGCACGACGAACCATGGTTCTCTCCTGCCTTAGAACATCCATTTCGTAACGGATTCTCATCTCGAGGTCGTCCAGATTAGCCGGCGGTGTCACATAAACTTTAGACTTGAGGTAACCCCAGAGAAAAAAATCTAACGGAATTAAATCTGGGGATCTCGGTGGCCATTCAACTGCATGGTTTAATGCAACAATTCGTTCTCCAAATAATTGTTGCAAGCGCTCTGAAAGGCTATCTTTAAAACCAGGAACGGGGAATCAAGGAACGGGGAACCAGGAACGGGGAACGGGGAACGGAATCTTTAAAACCCGGAACGAGAATCTCCGGAATCTTTAAAACCCGGAACGAGAATCTCCGGAATCTTTAAAACCCGGAACGAGAATCTCCGGAATCTTTAAAACCCGGAACGAGAATCTCCGGAATCTTTAAAACCCGGAACGAGAATCTCCGGAATCTTTAAAACCCGGAACGAGAATCTCCGGAATCTTTAAAACCCGGAACGAGAATCTCCGGAATCTTTAAAACCCGGAACGAGAATCTCCGGAATCTTTAAAACCCGGAACGAGAATCTCCGGAATCTTTAAAACCCGGAATGAGAATCTCCGGAATCTTTAAAACCCGGAACGAGAATCTCCGGAATCTTTAAAACCCGGAACGAGAATCTCCGGAATCTTTAAAACCCGGAACGAGAATCTCCGGAATCTTTAAAACCCGGAACGAGAATCTCCGGAATCTTTAAAACCCGGAACGAGAATCTCCGGAATCTTTAAAACCCGGAACGAGAATCTCCGGAATCTTTAAAACCCGGAACGAGAATCTCCGGAATCTTTAAAACCCGGAACGAGAATCTCCGGAATCTTTAAAACCCTGAATGGAAATCTCCGGAATCTTTAAAACCCGGAACGAGAATCTCCGGAATCTTTAAAACCCGGAATTAGAATCTCCGGAATCTTTAAAACCCGGAACGAGAATCTCCGGAATCTTTAAAACCCGGAACGAGAATCTCCGGAATCTTTAAAACCCGGAATTAGAATCTCCGGAATCTTTAAAACCTGGAATGAGAATCTTCGGAATTTTTACATCAACATTAACTTGAATTGTGCATTTTTGATAAACACGTTCATATAAAACCACTTTATTATGTAATTGTATATATATTATCCCATTCAGCAATAAAATCGCATTCTATAGCTTATAAAAGGTAATACAAGGTTGTTTTAGCACATTAAAGGTAATACAAGGTTTTTAAATATAAAATTTCCCCCAATTTCAAAAATTAACATCAATAATAGTATCCAAATGGAACGAACTAAAACTACGGAATAAAATTTGAAACAGTCCCATCATCAGCTCGGTGTTTTCACTCACGGTAAACATTCAATTAAGCTTCTAGCGACAGCCCTGCATGCACGTGCAAATAAAAAATGCGGAATAAGTGGAAAACAACCCTTTCTAACTAGTTTCAGTCTGAGAATGTGTCAGTCTGAAAAAGTGTTTCACTAATCTTTGCATCAGAGCCACTTTATGTTATTTAGATCGTTGAAATAAACGAATTCATGCGTGTAGAAACGTTAACGGTAGAGATTCCAACCAAAATTGGTAGCTAAACGCTGGAGGTGTTCTGGTTGCAGGTGATTAATTTGAAAGCCATCAATCTTCAGGAGACCTACGTGAAAGTTTGGATATCTTCTTATCACGCATTCTTTGTACAGGTGGAAATGCACGTTCTGAACAGTGTTACTCTTTTGTCGTTGTCCAGTTAACCTGTCTCTGTACTCTCGCATATCGCGGCAAACAATGATCAAATCATCCGGGCGATGAGTCGGGGGGTTTTGAATAACCCCATCACATCCATAGCATTTGGACACTCTGGTTCCTTCGACCCATTTCAAATAAAAATAGCTTTCTGGTAATCCTACTGACCCTTGGGCATTCATGTGTGATTGATCACTTAAAGTGACCGACGACACTGGAGAAAACTGGAAATTTTCCGAAAGGTGCTGGTTTGTGCATTGTTGCGGAATACTGTAACTGCCAGGAATAGGAAAACCTGTAGCCATCGAGGGATAATCAGTTTGGAAGGTACTTGTATCGGGGGCCGTTGGCATTACTTGTGTCATTCTTTCAACAGAGGAGAATGTTGGAGGTTGGGTATAAATATTGGTTGAAGGAATGCTTGCGTGTTGAATTGTGGACGGCACATCGGGTAACATTTGCGATGTTGGAGGACGTAACAGGTCGACGTATTCGTTGACTGTAGGCCGTTTAACATTGGTCCGCTTTCTTTGTGACGGCTTCCTTCCTGCAGTTTTGGGGCCACTCTGTTCGACCATCTCCATCATTGCAGGCCGCTTCTTTCTTCTCTTGAACCACGTCAGCAGCTCGCTCAATGTGCCTCTCACCTGTGCGACAGCTAGTGTATGTTCACAAATTTTGGTCGCATAATTTATGCAGCTGCGATCGCAGGAGAGAGAACCACCTTTGCCAGGATTTACACAATGTATGTTGTTGGATAATCCTGCCACTACGAATGATCCATCGTCAGCACCAGGCTTTGGAATAACTTTTCCCGGCACCGCTAACAAGTTAGAGGCCCTTTCGAACATCGCTTCAAGTATCGGTTGAGGTACTGTTGTTATCCCGCTTTCATTAGCTGTGACACTTAAACGCGACGTGGGTTCGTCCTAGATTATTAGATAGATAAATAAATGGATGGATATGGATGGATGGATATGGATGGATGGGGATGGATGGATGGATGGATGGATGATGGATGGATGGATGGATGGATGGATGGATGGTGGATGGATGGATGGATGGGGATGGGGGGGATGGATGGATGGATGGATGGTTAAAATATTATATTGCAGCTGCAAGCTTAATTGCGTAATTATATTTACAAAAAAAAGTTAATAGGAAACAAATAAATTTACCTCTTGGTCTTGAGGGGTTGGACTGACGACGTCAACCCTGCTGTCCATTTTTGCTTTGTTGAAATCAGCCAATCTTTTTTCCATTTGAGCGTGACTTAAACTGCTTCTTTCTACGTCATCAACGGACAAATGGGTGAAACCTTCTCGTACTCGATACGGACCTTTTCCAAATACCGCACGATCTTCATTTCTTTGTTGTGTTAAGATAATTTCTTTGACATTTTCAATAAACTCGTGGGGTTTGTTTGGGTTGAAGTGCAGCCCATGCTTTATGATGAAGTTTGCAGCTTCAGGGTCGTTGTTCGTGTATTCGGATGGTGGGTTACCAAGCCCTGCTTCTGTTCTGATCGGTCTCAGCATCGAGTCCTTGATATCCTGTGCCTAAAAAGCGTCCGCTGTATTTGGTTACTGTATGCATTTAATATATACGCGGACCATTTAAAATGAATGAACAATTAATATCCAAGCAGGTCGAGAAAGGAAATTAAGAAAGGAAAATCTATGCAAATGTGCATGGGAACTCTAGGAACTAATAACTCATTCCACAACAATTCCACAATTGGTAACGAACATTAGAGAGCTGTCTATTTAGAGTAGTGTTCATATTAGAAAGGTGACAAAAATTACAAGGGTAACAATTACTTGGATATATTGCGCTGCCTACGCTATTGGCGTAATGTAACGGTTGTTTCGTAAGAATTGGTCTCTTACCTTTTCGCGTTTAAACCACTCGAACATTGTTTGCTTCCTCTCTTTGTTTTCAGTTACAATCTCCCTTTCTTCCCAAATCGGTTGAAGCTGTTGCAGTTTTTCGTCGAATTCTTCTTCTGATTCACAATCAACAAGTCCGAAATATTTAATGTCTCCTTCTTGTTTTCCAAATATTTCGCACACGAATTCTTTCTTAGCATTCCCTGTAATTCCTCTCGAAATTAGCTCTCTCTCAATATTAGCTTTAAAATGTAGAAAGCATCGTAGAAATACCGCAAAACGCATATTTCGTTTGAAACCATTGACGAGCGCTCTTTCACCATCCGTACCGCATGCAAGGACTGCATCTAACTCTGGTTTAAGAGTAACCAATGAGTGTGCAAATTTGGAAAAGGTTTTCCAGTCCTTTTTCTGATGCATGAGCAACGGTCCAACAAACACTGGTTGTTTACCGGTTTTGGGGTTGACCAATTTCAGATTTCTGTATGTAGTAACCGTAAGGCTAATATTTCGGTCAAATATATTAAAAGTTGGATCAATTCCGAAAACACTGTGTTCACTTGGGTGCGTACAGAAGTTTGCAACCTCATCAAGTTGTCGATCGTTTGCAAGAACTACAAACAGGTTAGGGTGAATTGAGCATTCGCGTATGAACACATCTTCTTTTGACTGTTCTTCCCTCTTTGCACGTTCCAGAAGCGTCCACATACTATCTATACTTGCAGGTTGACTAGTTTCCTTGGCTTCGCTTTTCTTGCTTTGATCAAGCAACGGACTAGAATTGGGCATCTTCTTTGCAGAGTGTCTTGCATAATATAAATCGCTGGGCCCTCTTGGTAGTTGGCCAATCGATCTTGCCTTTATAACGTCTCCAGATGTACAGTACACTTCATCAAGGGTTTGTTTGGCTGTCTTTCCCCTGTCAAGTATGGACTGTTTCATTCGCTTTCTGGTGCTTGATAGTACCCGCCGGTACGAAGACTTGGTTTTTGAGTTTCCGTGGGGCATAACGTGTTTTATTTCGTGTTCTTTATCATCGAACAAATACTGAATAAGCACATTTGGAAGTTGTGCACCACAGTTATCTACAAAAAGAGAATAACAATTCATATACCAAGCGAATATATTGCATATCTAACCCATCTAGAGGCGATCTTTCGTAGGTCCATTACTCTTTTAGCGCAAACGTAAATTGTTGGGTGCTGAGCTTTGCAAGTTACAAGAATACTCGGGACGCTAATATATAGGATGTTTATACTTCATAATATAAGCGTAGGTCTGGAAAACTCATCAAATTATTTGTTTGGGTTGAAATGACGAGGGGTTGTGCATGCATGTATTTCTAGTGTGATGAAGTAAATATGGGGGTGGATGTATGGTTCAGTATATCACTTTTTCAGAGGGTGTATTTGGACAACGCAACAAAGATGTAATGTTTTGCAAAATGGCGAAAACATTAATTAGGTGTGAGTTTACATAAAAAATACGTTAACATTCCTTTCCGGTTCTAGGGAAATATTTCTGAAATTTCTGTGATTAAGAATACAATTGTATATTATTCATAAAGCCGGATGGCCGGTAGTCCTAGTACGTACCATATAATTTAGATACTATCTTCCGGACAGTCTTGTCCGAACAGTTTCTGTAATAGGCCCTTCTCAATTCGTAAATGTTATCTTTTAGTGCGGCATGTTTAGGCACCGTTACATCTAAGCGTTGTATTTCTGTTAACACACCGTTTGGATCTCTCTTCACATGGAAAAGACGCTTTGGAGAGCCGTTGTGCTTCCAAGAACCCATGTCGTCACACTTTATGTCATCAGGGTGTTCCAAATAATTTGTGCCGACCAGGAAAGAGGCATTGTGAGAGACGTTAATTGGCTGCGATGCGCAAGTTTCCTCAATTGGATAATCATTTATTAGTATACAAACTAGTTCCTGACTTGTATAGGCGGATTTACTCCAAGAGAAAACTGGAGTCATTGCATCGTTCTTGTAACATTCGCCGGATGCATCGATTCTTTCAATGGCTTTCTCGTCACTAAAAAATATAAATAGACAAGGATAGATACAACATGCAAGACAGCTACTGCTGCCTCGAAGCTACGTGAGAAAATATAGCGTAAACAAATACCTAGAAAATTCATTATCCGCCTGGCTTTCACTTTGGTCGATGGTAGCCTCCTGTTGAAGAAGAAATTAAATGATCAGAATTAAGTAGAACCTACTTTTACTGGTGAAGAGAGGAAAGCAAATATTGAAATGATACACGGCTTACTTCGCCTCCTGATTTCGTCATTGCTTCATCGGTAATATTATCCACTGCGGAATTTTGCCTTTCCTCCTCATTGTGTTTCTCCGAAGATTCCGTTATTGTTATTACGACTGGAACATCCAAATCGTTACTAAGCAAACTGGAAATAGACATTACAGATATTCAAAATCAAAAAGAAGATACTTCGGCGGAGTTAACATGACGCTATATGGAAAAATCTTTGTACAAAATAGTACCTGGAAGATTCATCATTTATCTGACTTTCATTTGGGTCCCTGGTTTCCTCCTTTAGAAGAAATGTTATGAAAAATAAGTGGAATTTACTTAAGAAGAAAGAAGAAACGATACACTTACTGCGCCTCCTGATTTTGTTATTTCGACGCTTCCCTCCTTGGTAGAATTAGCCACTGCCGAATTTCGCCTTTCTTCGTCGTCTTTGCTGTTCGGTGAAGATTCCGTTACGGATATGGTTGTTATTTTCGGAGCGCTTTTCTCAGCACTAAAAAAACGGAAATAGCTACATGCATACATACAATATCAAATGTAAACCAAACATTTTTACAACCTCGTACCCAGGGTCTTTATTCTAAATTTTTAACGGTTTTTAACATGCACTTTATCAGTTTATAAATGAAAAAATAAAAGCAAATACCCAGTCGAAGAAGCGTCGTCTGCCGGACGTTTCCTTTCCTTTTCCTTTGGGTACATAGTCACATTCTGCTGAAGAAATAAAATCATGAAGATAAAATTACCCTAGGAAATAGAAGAAAGAAAAATATAAATTTAGCCTTACGTTGTCTCTTCCTTTCGACATTGTGCTGTTCTCCTCATGCGCTATCGACTTTTGAATTTCTTCTTCGTTGTTGCACATCTCCGATGATTCTGTGAGCAGATAAATGTTAAATTAAACTTTAATGAAAGGTAGAAGTCGGTAAGCTTTTTGAAATCAAATAGTAAACCTCTTTTTTACCACGCTTTCAGCTTTCTTGATGCCCCGATGTTAAACATGCCTCTTTGTTGTACAGATTACAGAAGTATACAATGACTATAACCTGTATACATTCATACCTCATAAATACTTTACACACTTTGTTAGAGTTCATAGTTAACGTCCAAATTTTGAATATATGGCAATCAAATCTGTCCGGTATTTTGAATTTTAAGTCATTATTTACGCTGCTTTCTTATCGCAGATTTTCCAAAAAATGAAAGTGCTTGAGCTTCCTTGAGCGTTTATAGATGTTTATAACTTTATATGAAAAATGGTACAGCTTTTTTAGGTGTTAATCTACAATTAAAAATGATGAAAATTTTAAATAATGATATACCTCGTGTAATCCATGCAAAGCTGTGATGTTTTTTTCCCTTTATGCCACTATGCAACAACCTCTCGTATATCCATTGGGCAATCATCTTACACGATTTGAGCGTTTTGTCAGGAGAGAACACGAGGATCCCGTTTCCATTGCCACCTAGCGCCTGACTTATTGGATGGGTGTCCAAGATAAACAACGCATTGCAATTTACTCCAACCATCAAGGTATATGGTTCGCAGGTGTACAGTCCAACCGTCTTTGACTCTCCAGCTCTTGAAAATAGTACGTTGACTAAGTTAGTTTTACTAGCAACTCTGAACACTTCAGATGAATCAATAAATTCCTCGGAAAGGTTGCAGGCGTCTACAATTCCATTTTCCCGTAACAAAGAATACGCGGTGATGGGCTCGTATAATTTTTCACAATTCGTATTGTGTTTAACAATGCTGGTAACTCACTAATAACACTTTCAGTCATATGTTTAAGTACGTTCCAATCAATTTCATCGTTAGGCAAGGCAAGGAATTTATCGCATAGGGCTACACACAGGAATGCACACGCATTGGTACCATCGGCATCGTTATCGTACGATTCGCCAAGTTCTTCGCCAAATTTTGATGGTGTGGATAAGATTGACAGACTCTCGGCCATTTGTCGATCAGACGTCTCAAGTGCAGTAGATTGACTGACAGTTAGTGGAATAAAATTAAGATATGTCTCCAAGTAGTTTTTCGATAAAACTGCAGAGACATCGCGAACCTCAGGTCTCTTGTGAGGATCAAATTGCGAGCAAGCTTCAAAAACGTACACGACTTTCCACCATTCCCCGACTTGTAAATGCTCGTACTTTCCGTTTGGCTCAAGCTTTGGCAATTGTTTTTGATTTAGCAGCAACTTTAACGATTCCACCGATGGTTCTAATCTAGCTTTAACGAAAGCATTCTCATACGGGTTGTCAAGATCAGGATTTAGAAGGCAATACATTGTCATACCGAGAGCCCAGATATCGGATTTCTTCAGATCATCAATCGTTACGTTCTTTGCTAATCGCAGTTGAGCCTCAGGTGCCAAAAAGACTTCGGTTCCGCGGTCCAACCGGTTAGTTTTGCTCACTATTAAAGTCCTCGTTTGAAGAAAAGAAGCCCGACTTTCGCCAAAATCCGTAAGCTTGCACTGAATAGGATTATCAACGAACATTTGGTTGCGGAGGCTGTCTGTCTTTTCACTTGCATAATACTGATTAGAAACAAGGACATTGGCAGGTTTTAGGTCTCTGTGGGCAATGTTATTTTCATGAAGGTGGGATAGTCCACTTGCAATATCTTGGGCAATTTTCGTTTGAAACTGCTTTAGCGCACTGAAATCTAAGTGTTCATCTACAAAACTTAGTAGTTCATCAAGAGAAGTAATAACTTTATCCATACCAAATGGTTTGAAGTCAAAAAAAATATGCTCCATCATGATAGCCAAGGGTTCGTTACATATGGCGACAAAACGTGCGATGTGCTCATGACCTCTCAACTTGTTGAGTAGCTGCGCTTCTTTTATAAACAGGCGCTTACATTCTCGACTACGAATGCGCATGGATTTGACGACGACATTCTGTTCATTAAATTTACCTGTGTATATTAAGCCGTACGAACCTGAGCCCAATTCAGTCGCACTTGCAAATTGACTCCATTCAAAAGTTGCCAAACCTGTATTAAAACTCTCTGGCCGCATTGAAAGTTTCGGGATACCCGTAAATCCCTCCATTAAATGCCGTGTATTAAGCGCAAATATAATATAATTTTACATCTTTAATAGGCAAGAAAAAAAAGGTGATATAAAGCAACAATTTATTCTCGATTTCTACGATTTTGCACAACCAAAACAGTTAAAAAATCGCGGGAATTACAATGAGCCAGCAAGCAGAAAATGCTTTCATACTTCATGGAAGAAAAATCATTGTCTTTCATTCAAAGATTCTCATTCCGGGTTTTAAAGATTCCGGAAATTCTCATTCCGGGTTTTAAAGATTCCGGAAATTCACATTCCGGGTTTTAAAGATTCCGGAAATTCACATTCCGGGTTTTAAAGATTCCGGAGATTCTCGTTCCGGGTTTTAAAGATTCCGGAGATTCTCGTTCCGGGTTTTAAAGATTCCGGAGATTCTCATTCCGGGTTTTAAAGATTCCAAAGATTCATGTTCCGGGTTTTAAAGATTCCGGAGATTCTCGTTCCGGGTTTTAAAGATTCCGGAGATTCTCATTCCGGGTTTTAAAGATTCCGGAGATTCTCGTTCCGGGTTTTAAAGATTCCGGAGATTCTCATTCCGGGTTTTAAAGATTCCGGAGATTCTCATTCCGGGTTTTAAATATTCCGGAAATTCTCGTTCCGG